GCTATTTCATTCATTTATTAAGTTGACCTTATCCCAAAGGCATACACATCAACATTTTATTTTCAAAACTTGTGGTTTCTAAAAAAAAATCTTTAAGCCACAGTTGTGTAAAAAGTGTATTTTGGCACTTAATAACCTGTAAAGGAAAAACATATGAATAACAATTATTTTATTCATGTTATAAATATAAATATTAATTAGGAAAATCTTATCCATAATGAAATTTTCACACTGTTTATGTAATTTTCATGTGATAGATTAGTTTAGCCCTGCAGGTAATATTTTATTATTTACTCTGATGACTGATTTTGTCTCACAGATTCAAATGATTACAAATCAAATATTGATCTGCTTTATTGAAAATTTTAATCCATTTGTAATTTATAAAATCTGCCGAAAATGCAAAAAAAAAAAATTATTTAAATGTTAAATAAATTAGTCAAAACTTAAATCATTAAATCATAAGTTCATCTTATATTAGAATATTTATTAAATAAATTGTTCACATTGGTGATGATATTATTCAATATGATGATGCCAAATAAACAGTAAAGTCAAGTTTTAAAAATGTATTTTTAATGTAAATTTTTGTTTTATTTCACCTTTATTATCATGATATGAGGACATTTTTAAAATTTCTGTCCTTGTCTCATGCCAGACATGATTCAGTTTGACACTTAATTACAGCAGTTATATTGTTATGACATAGATGCATGCCATACTCTATTCCAAACCTGTGACTTTCAGAATGTGGGTCCAATATGTAATGCTGAAGTTGATTGATAATGTAGTTAATATAGTAAATTTCAATTTTTTTTGCTATGTAGATTTCTAGTCAATGAGAAATAGATTTCTAATGGAAACATAGAAGTGTATGCATGAAAATCTCTGCTCTACTATCAAATAGTAACATACCTGATCTTCCTCTTTATAAGTTTGTAATTAAACAAGTTTGTTGTAATATATCAAGTTTGTTGTAATATATCAAGTTTACTGTAAATAAACCAGTTTGTTGTAATTAAGCAACTTGCTGTAATTCATTAAATAAATAGTGTAACAAGATTTTGTAATTCATTCAATCATGGTGATCCCATTCATAGATACTACATGCCTGATTTCAGACATTTTCCTGTTATTATTTAATATAATAGTTATTTAGTTGTCTAGTTAAAAAAATTTCGGTTAGGAATACATTTTTATACAACCAAATTAAAATGTTTTTTAATTTTCTTGCACACTAACTCATTTTGAAAGCCCTATGCTCGATCACTTAACAATAACATTGATATAGAAAAAAAATAGATATAAGGCAGCTCAATATTAACCGAGCCATGGTTTTTGAGGCTGTTCCAGTGTTGATTAACGTCTCAAAGCAGGGTTTGGAAACCTGTTATTACTTGGGTTGTTTTTTTTTTTTCACATGAGAAACTGTGCGCTGAGTACAGTTCTATGAAATGATATCTCAACACTTGTTAACCAGAGTACAGTATATGGACATTGGAGACATAAACATTACCCGAAGCACATTGCTGAGAGCATGGGTAAATCAACACTTACTATGGTTTAGCAAAAATACATTTTTAAAAAATAATTTATCAAGTGGAAATGTTTCTTGGAAGTAAGAAATAATTAGAATGCATTGTTTATTTTAGTGTTGGTACATGTAGGAGCCAACATTAGACTTTGGAAAAGTATTTAGTTATTAATTTTAAAAATTTAGTGGTCATGGGAAAACTTCACTGGTGACATCACTTTTTATTTTGCTGCCTTTTAAATGTTAAGGGATAAACCTCTGTCTCAAGTACACAAAAGGTCTGAATTCCAAATAGTTAACTCCTAAATTTCAAATTGTATAAAAAGAGTGAAGTGTATGCTGATATTTAGTAATTTCATTATTGATAAAGAATTTCCAATCAATATTTAAATGAATGAATTATACCTGACTGAGCAGTATTTAAATTTGAAAGCTTTGAAACTTTAAAAAAATTAAATGCTATATTGTACTGGCAGACTTCTGTTATGCATTTTTTAAACATATTAATAGTTTAAAAAAAAATTGCTGTGCACAAGTCCATGAATCTTTTCAATAATAACACAAATCAAACTGCACTGGCTAATATTTGAAAGTATGTTCATCCTCAATCTGTTCTGTTTACAAGTAATATTATTAAGTTGCAGAATCATTTCATGAGGTACATTTTATTATGTGTAGCAATTGTTCCTTGAGAGACTGCTCTAGTTCTGAAGGATTGAAAGTTGCAATATTTTTAGGAAAAAAATTACTCATGTTCTGCCATTGTTTTAACCAGCAAAAAAAAAAATCATTTTAACATAACTGAATTCCATTTTGTTTAATTAAATAATTCATTTATAATATTTTTAAAAAAAATTTTTTTTAAAAATTAGACATATTTTAATTTGAGAAGATTTTTTAAACAAAATATTTGCCTTTCAATGTATAGCCACAAGACGAGTAGCTTAGCTTGAGTTATTTGAACCGATGTTTGAAAATAAAATTGTTCTAATTTTGAATTTTACTTATACTTGGGATCTTTTGTGTTGCAGATTTACATTTTTTTAATGAAATATTTTAATTTTAATGGGATTTTTGTATTATTTTAATAACTTGATATGTCTTTAAATCAAGAGTTGAAGTGTAAAAGTTGGTGTTAACCTAAGTATAATTTATGAATGTGTGCACTGATGTGTACTTTTTTTGGAGTGTGATGATGGTATGGAACGATGACTTTCTGTGCTAAACATAATTAAATGTTTTGATGTAATACTAAAAGTCACTCTGTAGTCAGGTAATAGGAGGAAAAGGATCTATATTGTAATTTTTATTTGTGATATGATAAATATCAATCTGAGTTGCAAGTAAAAATGCCTAGCTTTTTAGTGTCTTTGACTGTGAAGTAGCCATTTTCAGCTGTTGTGCTAGCTACTGTCTTTCAGTGTTCTTATACACCAATGCTGTTTTAATTAATTTTTTAAAATTAATGTTTATAATTATATATTATATTACATTCATTTATTCATAATAAAATTGTAAAAACTTGTAACAAAATAAAAATGGGCGGTATTTGTAGTAACTGGGAAGTTTATAGGTACAGATAAGATGAGATGGCACATAGTTTATAAACCCTTGCTCTTAATATCTTAAACCCAACACCCTTATATTGTGTCCAATAATAATATGAATTATTTTATTTATATAAATGTTTTATGATTTAAAATGGAGGGAAAAAATTAATATTATTGTATATTTCTAGCTTCAGATAATTTTTATCTAAAAAAATTCAACAATTCATGAGCATTTTCAGGTTTAAATTGATCTTGGTCTTTTAAAATGACTTACTATTATTTGAATGTATAGTCCTCCTCAGTTAATTGATGTGTACATTGTACAAATGGATTATCTTTAGAAATTAGCCACTTTTGCTGGACTTTTATGTCCATTTGTAATAATTCTTTAACAATATTTAAATAATTTTAATGATTTATGAATACATATCAAATCAAAATAAGCATAATTTCTTGCATACTGTCACTAAAACAATAATTTGTGTATCAAATTACACCTGTAAAAATAAATGTGGGAGATAAACATTTATTTTAATATTTTTTTTAAAGAATGCCATGCCATCATTACAGGAATTTTCCATGGATTCACTTCTCATATGTATTTTAAAAACAGCTTATACTGAAAGGCATGTCCATAAATTTAAACTTTAAAAAAAATACTGAATGTCACATGAATTTTTTAAAAGCTTTAAAATCCTTTCTTAGACATTTCACTTTACAAAAAAATAATGGTGCTTCTAAAGTGCTTACAGTATATTTATAAAATAAATACCTTCAGCTGTTGATATTAAGGAAATAAATAAATCAATTAAAAATGTAACCATTTTCACTCACTTATTATAAACAAATATTTCTAAAAAACTTCAAGCATTCATGAAAATCAGGACACATTTTCAAGATGAATTAAGCTACTTAACTAATGTTCTTGTATGACTTACTTTTTAAATATGTTTTATTGCATTTATATTTATAATATATTGTAAAATTAAATTTATTTGAAGGCTGTGTCATTTTATTTTTGATTGTGTTGATTCATAAAGTGTTTAAAACTCCTTCTTTGCTAGAATTCATTGTATTAATTTAAAAAAAAAGAAAACTAGAAATACCCATGGAAAACCACGGAAGCACAGAACCACAGAGGGCTCACCTACTTCAATTTGGAGTCTTCAGTTCCCTAGCTTTCTGCTCTCCTACTGTCAATCTGAATCACTATCAGAAAGTTTGCGAAGCTCTGTAAATCCAAATTTGTGTTTACACCCTTTAATTCAACAAAACTTCACAAAATGTTTGTGATTTTTTTTTTCTTCTCTTTACGGAATCTTTGGTGATGTTCAGAAGGCACAATGTCTTTTTTCATTTAAAAATCCATTGAAAATGTTGCTGATCTAATCAGTCTCAACATTTGTTTTACTGATCCTTCCATCGATAAAAAATATGCCAAATTTCCTTTTTTTTTTAAGGTTTGCACTTGTTCATAAGTCATAAGACAAGAACAAGTATGTTTCCACTGTCTCTTTTTAGAGTCGTTTACTAAATGTACGCATTTGTGATGCAAAAAAGATGGTTTTCTCTCTGGGCCTGAGCGTTCCAGACAGACGGAAAGAAAGACAAGGCTGGGCTTTTCTTGTGTTTGTATGTGTGTGTGTGTGTGTATGTATATGTATATAATATCACTTTTTATTGCCTAATCAGGGAAAAATTAAATAAATTTAAATAGTTAAATAATGAAAAAAAGGAAGAAAACAATGGAGAACCAAAACCCAACACACACACAAAGAGTATTTATTTTGTAATCATTACATTTATCTTAGTAATTTTCTTTTCATAAACAAAAAAAACCAAGATTAAGTTGGTCCGTAATTAAAATTTTATATTGGACGAAAAAATGGCTCATCACCTACAATTTGGAAAGCGTTAGAAACAAGTTATTGCCCTTGTTTCAAAATGGTGAATTACTTCCTAAACAAATAAATATTCAGCACCCAGTGTTGTTGAATATAACTCATTTTGCTACATAACTGCTATTTCTACACTTGAAAAAACAGTCATCATTAATCATGAGAGAATCAAGAGACTATGAGAGTTCCGGCATTCCTAAGCTATTTCACATATTTCATGGCGAAGTAAGTAGTCCAAATATGATTGATCATAATCATAATCATTGAGAATTGAATTTGACATTTGACAATTTAAAATAATCATAAGAGCATACACAGTCTAAATCCATTCGCTAATGCAGCGTAACTTTTGAACACTGTCACTCACTGTACTATTTATGGCCTATGTGTAGTTTACTGCTGAGATGATTATAAAAGTTTATAAATATTATTTTTGTAAAACTTACACTTACACCCACTTACTTGCACATGGGCACATGGCATGACATGGATGGTGTAGGTGTTAAATTAAGTAAAGTTTTAACAAATTAGCTCTAGGCTGGTCCGACTTGGAAACTTAGGCTTTAACTTTAACACAATGTGTGTAATTTGAATTTGGGTTTCTCATGTCACATGTGCAATAATTTGGACACTGCCTATTTCCAGCCCTTTTCAGAGAAAATATTGTCATAAGATTGGAACTTAATTCTTAAAAATTTTGGTCTACCCAGTGTTCACTACATTTACTTTGCAACTGAGACTATGCCAGGAAGATGGTGAGCACAACTTGTCCATGGGTCTGACTACATAGCTTAAATTAATCTGAGGAATACACTAAAGTTGCGGTAAATGCAAAAAGATGGCACCCTGACATATCACGCGACCGCAATATTGGTTGCCGCAACCCGTGAACTTTGACGGGTTCACGGATCGCGGCAACCAAGATAGCGGCCGTGCAAAAATAAAATTAGGAATAAAACGTTAAAAATTAATGAAAAAATTTCCTAAATGTATCCTTAAACCTAACCTGGGTATTGACTCTAAACCTAACCTAGGTATAGACCCTAACCTGGGTGTAGACCCTAACCTGACTCCCTAAATTTAACTCTAAACCTAACCCAAACCCTAAAACTAGCCCTAAAGCCAAAGTAAAAATCATATGGCAATTACACACTGTGGCAAGAAAACTATGAAAATGAACAAAAACAATAAAAAAAACGTCCAAAATTAATTACAAATTAAAGAAATAATGAATCTTAAATGAAAACCCAACTTACAGTTTCATATAATACACTTTGACACACTTAATTTCAGGTTCCACCTAAAAGAATATCCAGAAAATGAATAAAATACAGTGTTTCCAATTCGTGTCAAAGATGGCAGAATACAAAAAATATTATAATTAGCCAACCAATTAAATTTTAAAATTATAATTAATCAACCAATAAAAATTTAATTAAAACAAGCCATTGTCATATTAAGGAAAATGTAACTCTATTAACAAAACACTAAGGGGAGTGAATCCTAAACAGAAACTTAACAAAAACATGTAAATGATGTCACTTTGCCATCTCTTTGCATTACCCAAAGTTGCTACATTTGCCCCATCTTGTTGTTAGTGTCTGCAAGGAAAGTAATGAAACATTCCTACTTTGCATAGTTAATAATGAACATAAGTATGACATAACTTCTTGTACGGCTGTCTTCACAGTTAATACACTTAAGATTGGAAAAAACATAGCCCTATGAATAATAAATTTAACTCAATTTTATTCTGGTTGACCCCAAATCATGCTTACACCTTGTGCCAGTTAGGGAGTATTAATCTCTGTTCATTGCATATCTTTACGATGCATTATTCTCTGCCTAATTACCGACAGTTAAATGATTAAATTATTTTGAGGAATATGGTACATGTTTATTGTTGTCAATAATTATAGCTATAGATGTAATATTTTCAGTAGATTATTATTTTTTCTACCTTTGATTTAACTTTCAGCCATTATTCATAATTGTATGGTGTTAAGATAAATTTCCATTAAATAATTTAAATAACAAGCTGCAACAAAAAATTACAATGGTATTGGGTAAGTAGTTAAGAAACTATTCGATCCTCTGACCTCAGAATTTTTCAACATATGCAAGTGGCTAAAATTTAGGATGGTTTCACTGTTAACTCAGCTGCAAATGTAACCTTAAATGTTCTTAACAAAAGTCTTATCGTGTGGACTATGTTTTGACTATTTGAGACTGACAATTTTAGTCAGACTTGTTAAGTTATTTGATACCGGTATATTTGAATAATATGAGTCATTAAAAATTAATGTGTTAACTACCAGAGGATATTTAATTATCTGGTATTTATTGAACCCTTTGCTACCACAAGTTTTTCATTTCAAATAACTTGAAATTAATTATCTCAACCAGGACAATACAAGACCTTAAAAACAGCATAGCTTTTCTAGAATTACAAAATCTGCAATTATTCGTTGTTTAGGATTAAAAATATTGGTAATTAACACTGAAAAATGAAAACACACATAATTTTGCTAACATAAAAAATGATAAAAGTATATACAGTTTATTTACAAATATACAACTTGGAATGTATGAACTTGAACACTCCTTTATATATTCTTTGACAGGTTGCTAGTTTGCAAGCCTATGGAGCTTTCATTAAAATTCCTGGATGTCGGAAGCAAGGTGGCTATTTTTGTTTACATTTCAATATAAAGTTAAATTTTGTGTGCTCAGTGAATTTAGTAAAACAAAATGCAGCTCCATGTCCAAAATTAACTATTTGCCATTCTATTACAAATTATTAAAAAATTAAAAATCTCACCCTTATGGGAATTTAGGTCATCACTTAATATGCTTTAATTTATATAATAACATTTTCTCGGAAATTCATTGTAGTTTTACAGTACTTAACTTTTTTGTTTCAATTAATTCATATCATTCATCTACCATTAGTGAAAAATATTTATTTTATCAATTAGCTTGGTTTGATTATTATGACATCTAATTAGCTTATCACTTTATGTCTTGTCCTTGGCTTGTTATTTGAAGTAACATATATTCAACTGAATCCACTCATTTAAAAAAAAATTAATCATTTGTTAAGATAATTATCATACGGAAAGTTTCATATATCCCTTTGTTACTTGCAAGGGCTGAAATAATGTTATCCCTAGCACTTTGAACACTTAGTCATTTCGTTTGATATAAGATACTAACTCACTTCATCATCTGCTACACCCATGTAAAAATATACTCCCCAGAGGGTTAGCTAGCCATGGGGGCAAAGAACAACTAGGGTTGTGTTTAGTGCAAGGATGAATCTACTACAATACACTGGACATTTCCAAGTTCCATCTGATGGTTCCTGCCTTATTTTACTTCCCTCCTCCTGGGTCCTGATGCAGTATATTACACATTTGTCTGCATGTATATTTAACATCATTATTATATTTTCACTTTGCTCTAGGTAATGGACAGAATGGAATCGTGTTTGGAATTCATTATTTTTTTTTAAAAATTGTTCTTCGTTTAAATATTTATTTGGTTAAATACAAAAATTGTCTGCTTATTAAAGTCTTCATAAGTCAGCAGACTTATTGACATTTTTTTAAAAAGGACATGTCTCAATTAGTCTAAGTCATTGTTTTAAAAAAATTTATATTAAAATTAGTGGCTTCAAATTAATGCCTTTAATAATATTATCACACAATACTTTCTTCCTAAACTAATCAGGGCTTGTGCATAAAAGTCAAATGTCCAATGGCAGAGTAGATGATCCTTCTGAGATGCTAGCCAAGGGTGAAAAGGTTTACTGCAAGGTTATTTCTATGGAGGTATGCTTATAATAAGGATATTTCTGCTAACAGTTAAAATGGCCTATTTAGGATACTGTGGGGATGTAGAAAAGAAAAAAACAAGAATGATATTGTCCAAACTAAAGTTGTATAAATTCATGACATGCTTTATAACTGAAATTCTAAAAATCATCACAGGGTGATGGTGAAAAGATCTCTCTCTCCATGAAGGTTGTTAACCAATCTTCAGGCAAAGATTTGGACCCCAATAATGTGCAGTCCAAGTAAGTTGTGGATTCTTGAATTTTTCCATCTATTATAATTAATGTTTGAAAGAAAAGCAGAGGATAATAATAATAATAAAGTTTATTTAAAAAAATATGCTTCATCCCCAAAGGCTCGAAGCGCGGATAATGATAATAAAAGATTTGTTAACAGTTGTTTAGTTAAATTCACATGATCCTATTCTAAGCACTGCATTCTAATCCATTACTTAAGACTTCCCTGTCCATAAAAGAAATACATAGTTTACAGAATAATTCTGGGAAGTATACCATTATGCAAAGTGAAATTTTAAGACAAAAATTGAAAAAATTTCTTTGAAAAATTATATTTTCCATTGATCAGTCAAGATGAGAAGAAACGCCGCCAATGGAATAACCATGGCCGTGGTAGAATTGAGCTTGGTGCTGAACTGAACACAACTTGCCGCAGGTGTGGTGTAAGAGGTACAAGTTGTTTTTTTAATAAATAAAAGTATCACATTTGATGTACGGTCCGTTCATGGTTAATAAACAAGTTCCATTCTGAGAGACCATTTTTTACATCTTTGATTCATCATGCATCAAACCACCTAAATATTATCAATTTCAGACCTGTTTACCCTCAAACTCTTAAAATCTTACAATATCATCACAAAATCAGTCAATACATTATTTTAATAGTAAAATATTAGGAAGCGTCGGCCACCGACCCCCTCGGCGTTTGCCTGGAAACATAACTACTGGGCACGCCCCGCGTGGGCAGACAAAGGGTGTGCTCGGTACCTGCCGTACATAAAACAGCTCCCACAGGGCTGCCGGATGTGATATCTCGCATTCGGAAAGTTAGGCAGAACCAGGGTAGGGATAACTGGGCACGCCCCGCGTGGGCAGACAAAGGGTGTGCTCGGTACCTGCCGTACATAAAACAGCTCCCACAGGGCTGCCGGATGTGATATCTCGCATTCGGAAAGTTAGGCAGAACCAGGGTAGGGATCATGATTACAAGTTGCCGTTGACGGGTATGAAGCCAGGGGCGAGGATTAAAAAAATGCAGCTGTGAGAACGCTGCCCCTAGGCAACCGTTTCGTCCCAGCTACATCGTGAGCTAGTCACGTTGTGGAAACCCACTGTGGAATCCCTCTTATAGGGCGTCCGACGCTTTCCCGGGATGGGTGGGGAAGATATTAGGAAGTAAATTTTCCATCCCAACTCCTGAGAAAGTCGATCAAGTGCACTGTTTAAACGCATAGTGTCGGATTAACCGGGTGCCTCCTCGTTGGGGCGGCCCCCAGGCAGGGGACTTGGGTGAGGGGCCCGTGTGGGGGCCGTCCTGATGAGTGGGCATCTCCAACGTGCCACTCCGCGGCCTGATACGTCGGACCGGGGAGGGGTAATTTGGGGGGGGGGCATAAGAGTCTAGACTCGCCCCGCTGACGCCATTTCTTAATGTAACATTTCAATAGTAAAAAAAAAATAATAAACATACAGTGTATATATATATATATACACTTCAAAATCGTACAATGTATGCCAAAATCGTAAAAGTAAACAGGTCTGCAATTTTAACTGTCAATTTCATGTATAAAGAGCACTGTATTAAATTTTTAAAAGTTTGTTTAATATAATCATACTCGTGAATGTAAACTAAAGAATTTTCATTATCCTAAAAATATGATGTTTACTATAGCGTGGATGCTTAAATCAATACTTTGTAACCAAGAAATGCATGTAATTTGTGACCTACCATTATGGTTTTGAAAACTGCATCCGTTTTAAGATTTGCCTCGCTGAATAAACAATACATGACAAAGGAAAAAGAAAAACAGTAGACAAAGAAAATGATGCCAAAGCTAGTGATGCTTACTATATTCAACAATATTGTATATGCTATTAAATTTCAAGAAAAATACAAATTCCAATACAGAAACAAACAAAAAACTTTTTCAAATAACAGTACAGCAAGTGAAAAGGTATACTTTTGAAAAATATATACCGGTATATTAATTTACACACACACATAAAGAGTACAACATTGCAATTATATACTGTCTCCTAAACAGGAAATATAGCAAAAATCTGTCTCTCTCTCTCCCTCTGCTAAGAAGGCTGCCGGGATATATATATTATGTAGGGAATAAATCAGAACGATCTAGTAAAGATATTCTAGAAATTGCGTCACCTGATAGCATTCTTTAGAACAAATAGAGCACATTTCGAACATTAACAACCTTTTCCCAATCAAGGGCCGGTTGAGTAAGGAGTGACACAGCACATTCACTCAATGACATCAATATCAGAGCAAAACAAAAGGGGAGACAAGTGGTGGTGGCTAAAAATAGACCTACATTTATGCCATAATAAATTGTAAAGACAAAGTTACTGGCACTATCCACAACTAGTTTAAAATAATTGACTGATATTTTTCTGCTAATACCAGTACTTTGTATTAAAATATCCATTCTATCTTATCATTTCTAATGCGGCTACTTTGTACTAATTTGTACTAAAATATCCATTCTGTATCATCATTTTAATGTGGTACTGGTCCTTTGTACTAAAGTATCCATTCTATATCATCGTTTTTATTGCCGGTACTTTGCACTAAAATATTCCTTCTTTATTATCATTTCTTATACCAGTAATTAGTCCGAAAATATCCATTCTGAATCATTATTTCTATAAAACAAACTTAAAATATCCATTCTATATCGTAATTTTTATTGCCGGTACTTTTTACTAAAATATACATTCTGAATCATTATTTCTAAAAACCTGAACTAAAATATCCATTCTTTATCATTATTTCTAATACAGGGTTATCCATTAATTTTTTTGACAAAATTCACACAGGTCATCTTGCTATTGATTGCTTTTCAAGGAAGGGGGATAGAAACTATGACCTTGTTCCAGACCTTGACAAAATGACAAACGGATCTTCAGATGATGATCTTTCAGATTCTTCAAACAAGAAGAAGAAGAGGAAGAAGGTAATTAACTTCCTCAGAAGATCATTAGAGCATTTTTTTTCTTATACCTGATTCTTTGCACTTAGCTTATAGCATTGGTACCTGCTGTCTGCTCTCCCAAATGTCCAAGTTAATGAAAAACAAGATGATTTGAGAGGGATAGTTTTTTTGTTGTTGACAATTTGTCGAGTATGAGCGTTCATTAGTAATTGTTGCGACTGAATATTACGTTCATTAGTTGTTGAACGGTTTTCCCGCGCTTGACTCTTATAGTTATTGAACGCTCTTCCCGCCATTGTCTCTATGATGTACTTTTATGCTGAATCGTGACATATTGTCTATGCAGTATTGTGAAGTATGTTTTAGTCGTGCGGCGGTCTTCAGTGGAACTTTGGAGTGGTAGTATGTGTATTATATTTACTTAGACATTAAAGTTTTAATTATTATGAAAAGGAGTTGAGTTTGTTCAATGATAGTAGGAATAGTACGTCGCTTCAACGTGTGAAAAGAACTTGACGAATGTAATCAATGCAAGAAGACTGTAGGAGTTGACACAATTCACTCAGAACTCTTTACAAAAAAGATTGGATTTAACTTGTAACAAAAAGAGAATTGGTGGCTGAAGGGACAGGCGTCTGTGAACATGGGAGGCGTGAAAAACCTGAAGTGGGGAGGGAGGAGGACTGCTTAACCCCCTAAACCATTGGGGGGCTGGAAAACCCTACGGGTGGTTGGAGGGGGGGTCTAGTTCTGTTTTATAATGATGGAGTTAAAGTGAGTGCTGGGTGGCCAAGTGGTCTAAACTAAGCCAATCTCAAGTTCATTGTCTGGAGTACAATCCCCACCAAAGCCCAGTCAAGCAAAAACATCACCAGCACCTCGGCTAGACGGGACTCGTTAACCTTGGATGGCAACTCATGTGAGAGAAGGAAACTCTGGATTCAAACCCAGAGATGGAGTCCCGTAGGCAGATAACATTGGCACAATGAAACATACGGACAACTCCTGTGACAACACTGGTGCCAAGTTGTAGCATCCACATGATGTTGCCTTGGGTTATTCAGCGGTGTGGAGAGAGGTGATTTGCTAAATAGGGAATCAGCTTATAATCCTAGAAAAATAATTCCTAGCCTTGTGGATTTTGTCCTGCAAAGTCTACACAATCGTCACATTGTGACGGACAGATGCCAGCAAAAACAAAAGGAAAGTTAAGTTTTTGTTCAAATGGGTGATCAGAAAAAATAGTGGAAAATCATATTCACTTTTTACCATTTTCTTTCAACGTAAAATTTAAATCAAATCTGATCATGCTTTAAAAAGTTTTTAATTTAAAAAAAAAAAAATTATTATTTTTAAAAAATTACCATTAAAATATATTTTAGCATTGTATGTTTTCTTCAATATTTTCAATTACTGATAAAAATATTAAGAGGCTTTCATGAGAAATTCAGATTTTCAAAATAAATTAAAGGAGACTAAATATCAACTTAAAGATTGCATTTATTTCTTCTTTTTTTTTAAATTTATTTTAAATGCATCCCTTATTTTTTTTAAATATTTTTTTAATTTTCAAATTGTATTCTCTCCTTTCATTGTTGGCAATTAGTGAAGGGACTTTAGGAGAATTCCATGTAAAAGTGGAAACAACAATCAAAAATTAAATTGCATAAAATTTGTTGCTATATAAATTTATTTCATGCATCTTGATATGGTGTCATTTTTATTATCTTTGTTTTGTGTGACACATGACCTGGTGGCCATCTTGAATAAAGAACATCTTGTCTGCACATTTTAATAGAAATTTTAAAACTTTTATTGAGTTTAATTCCATTTTTATTGTCATGGTCAATCTCACTTGATGGACAAGCATTAAAACATTGCTATTTATGTTTATTTAAGTTTTTTAAGTTTATTCAACTGACATATTTACTGAATGCAAGTTAAAATCATTTTCTGAAAGTTACATGAGTTACGATGGAATTCACTTTCAGCTTGAATAACTAGATTCATCGTTGGCCATTAGTCAAGGGGACTATTATTTAGACACTGCATACTTTTTTAAATGCCATTAGTATTCTTTTCATAATTCTACATATATTGCTTTAAACATACCGGTACACATAAACATTTGAAATTTTACAACATCATTTTAATTTATTTCAAATTTAGTGATCTTGGGAAATATACTTTTTACAAAATTTAATAAGAAGCTTTTTTTTAAAAGAAAATTTTAAGAAACTTTTTTGTTTTTTTGTTTTTCAGGACAAAAAGAAAAAAGACAAAAGAAAGAAGTCAAAAAAGAGAAGGCATTCAAGTTCATCATCAGACAGTGGTGACAGTGATTCAGATGACAGGCAGCAGAAGAAGAGCAAACAGGACGCCAAAGGAAAGGGGGACAGGGAGCAACGGCCTGAGGATGATTACAACAGCAGTGATAATGGAGCATCCAAGTCAAGATACAAAGCTGCGCCTCGTCCTTCCGGCCAGTTTTCTCCAACAGATCAGAGGAAAGAGTCCGGCGGCAATATTGTGGCAAAGGGTGTAGGTCGAGGTGCGGAGGGATGTGGTAGTGACAGTGAAGAAGATTGGGGTGCTAAAGGCAGGGGGAAGAAAGGGGCGGAGGCTGCAAGTTACTCTGGGGATAGGGAGAGTAGAAAAGATCAGAGAGGGCGAGAGAAGGGAAGGGAGAGTCCCGAGAGAGGAGGGGCAAGAAAAGATTTTTCTTTTTATGGCAGTCAGGACAAAGAGAAGAAATTCAGTCCAGCAGAGAGAAAGGCACGAAGCAGAAGCAGTTCTGATAGTAGTGGAGATAGGGGTAAAGTCGGAGGAAGGGGTGGGGGGCAGCAGGACGGGGATAAGAGGGGCAACAGAAATTCTGACTCGTGGGACGACAGAAAGAAAGATGAAGATAAAGTCAGCCCAAATAATAGCTTCAGGGACAGACCCAAGTCTGGCAGCCGATGGGACGGAGGGTCTAATAGATCAGGTGGCCGTAATGACTCATTTGGTGACACCTCAAAGGAAGAGGACAGGAGACGGGACAGTCCTGACAGGAAGGATAGACGACAGGATTTTGCTGGAGGTTATCGTGGACGTAGGGATGATGACAGGGGCGGTGGTGGTGGGGGTAGGGATGACAGAAATTACAATGATGGTGGCGACGGTCAGTGGAGAAGAAATAATAACCGCAGGGGTGGAGGGTTTGCTCAAAGAGGCTGGGGTGGTGGAGGAAGGGGTTATGGGGACCGGGGGAGGGACAGGAGGTTTTCTGGTGGCAGAGATGGGCAAGGCAGAGGATCACAATGGAAACCACAAGAGTCAGGGCGACAAGCCAGGAGAAGTCGCAGTAGCAGCAGTCGTAGCCGCAGTCGCAGTAGCTCTAGTAGTGCTCGAGGGTGAGAATGATGGAGATTTCTGTAGAGTTGTCACGAGATTTCTAATGCTTTGACTGGGTGTGAGTGAAAGACAAGCACAGGGGCTGTAGAATTTTGGTGTCATGTTTGACTGTAACTCATGTCATTTTAAGTCCTTTTTAAGAATAAATGTGTCCTCTCAGAGCAAAATGAGATTATTATTTTCTTTAAAGTTTCTTAGCTTATTGCACTGAACTCAGAATTGTAGTTTAATGCTTGCCAAAGGAATAAATATATAAGTTACAACACAGAAACAAATAAGTTGGTAATCCTAGGTCTTGACCAAACATGACTGCATGGACATAGGTCTTCTACAGAAAGTCTGTAGCTTTACAATATGCTACATAAATATTAATAACATTGATAAGTTAGAACCATTTTTCTTTTGTTAGTTCCATGCATATTAACTGGCTAGAAGATTTTGATTGATAGAACACTGGGAAGAGAGAGCTCTTGGTTAAAACCCTTAGTTCACATATTATTATTAAACCAAGTACATTGTCGTTTCATGTTTAAAGTACATGCCCCTCGGGATTGATGAAGAAATGTTTCAGACACCATATCGTCTCTTATTCTCACACGGGTGAACTTGTATTAACGCTGGCCATTCATCACTAGGGTCGCTCTCATTTTGCCTTGAACACACACACAAAAAAAAAATGTTTTCTTTGCTTTCGTTTACTTGGAATGATTGGAAGTGTATTCAGTGTTGTTGGCCTGTCTCTATGTTTGTTTGTTTTGCACATTATCACATAAGGTTAAAAGTGTAACCGGTAGATGAAATTCTCCACCTTACTATAGGCTGGCGATCATAAGTTAAGTATTGGTATCTTTATGCAACTATAGATAAGCCATCATTAGCTTAGTATCCTTATGTTTCGTATCCTTTGCCACGGGATGTTCCTCTAATTTCGGAACCAATGTAAGGGTTTTGGTGGTGTGTCCAATATTAACTTATTATCAATCGGGGTACCGGTACTAATACTATGGTAAACGTGTAAATAAGGGAGGCGACTATTAATGTAAGGGAGACAAATACGGCGTCATCCAAATTCAAGATAACTAGAAACTTACGGTACCCGGTATTCAGATGGGTGAACTGTAAATTATTGCAATTGGAACAATTTTTATTTTACGACATAAAGTGATACAAGCTAAGGATAATTAAAAAAATTAGGATCTTGCCGATTTAATTGATTCATGATTCATCCAGTTACAATTAAGGTTACCCTTTTTTTTTTTTTCAATTTGGCCGTAACGCAATGAACCGGTACTTAACAGATACAATGCTTACTGAACAGACTAAAGTAAAGTTTACACGCGTGTCAGTTCAGATGATGAAACGATATTTATCAGTGCCTGCTGTCAGGTGCATCTTAGATACCCGGTAGGATTTCGATTTCTAGCCCCTCCCTCTAGGGCAGCATGTGTCTAGCCCCTCCCTTTGCTAAGGCAGCATGTGTCTTAGCCCCTCCCTTAGTTAGGGTAGCATGTGTCTCGACTCCTTGTAACAACAAGTAGGGCAGAATGTCTAGCTTCCTCCCCTCTAGCTCTCTACCCCTGGTAAGGAATATGTCAAGCTCTTTTCCCCGTTATGGTAGACTGTCTAGCCCCCTCTCCCTTATTTGTGTACTTGTCTTACCCCCTCCTGCAATTGTTACATACATTTGGGGTAATTTCCCCCCCCCCCAAGTCTGGACTAAACAATATATGTTAAATAAATGCAATGCCCAAAATGGTCGTCCGAAATTACCTCCCTCGCCAGGAGGGGGCGCCAGCTTCAATTTGAAAAAGCCAAAAATGGTCATTTTGCATGCTAAACACGAGAAACCTGCATTAGTACATGTACGGTAAATACTTTTTGGGGTCGCCTCAATTCAGGGCTTCCTTCCCCTCGGGGACAGCTTTTCTTGGCACAACCCTGTTCTTCGCTGTCAACGCCGGGACCGGCCGCATCGGTGCCGCAACATTTTCTCTACACACGCTATTATTAGTAGGCCGGCACTAGTGTAGGCCGGCACTACTAGTGTAGGCCGGCACTACTAGTGTAGGCCGGCACTACTAGTGTAGGCCGGCACTACTAGTGTAGGCCGGCACTAGTGTAGGCCGGCACTAGTGTAGGCCGGCACTACTAGTGTAGGCCGGCACTAGTGGCTAGTGTAGGCCGGCACTAGTGTAGGCCGGCACTACTAGTGTAGGCCGGCACTATAGTGTTCATCCGTCTTGACACTTTGGTTAAAGCAGGTCAGCTGTTGAAACATTTGACAGATTTTGAGAACAATAATCGCAAAACACGTTACACAGTTCAGTGTGTAACTAGTTCACTGATAACAGCCCAAGCCCAGTTAGTCTTGACACTTTGGTTAAAGCAGGTCAGCTGTTGAAACATTTGACAGATTTTGAGAACAATAATCGCAAAACACGTTACACAGTTCAGTGTGTAACTAGTTCACTGATAACAGCCCAAGCCCAGTTGTTGATAGTTCCCGTCAATCAATAGACATGGGCAACCCCGTTATCAGGGCGCGTCTACTACTATCAGGACAAGTGCTGCTATCTGGTGTTTATAAAAAGAAAGAATATTGTCTGGTTTCGATTCTTTCCATGTGTAACATGTTGATTCACGATCAACTCCTGGGAAAGGTCAACAACAGGGTTCAGTGTCGAGACGAAGATATCTAAATGATGTGCTTAAAAAAACAACAAACAAAAAACAACCCTGTGCATGCTCCCTCTCTTCTCAGTTCTTCACTGACGGTACCGGGTGGTATTTCTATGGCTAGGCGATTGTAAGATTATACATGATAGGCCTGCATACATCTCGTACTGTTTTACGCTATGTATCGGATGATATAGCGGTAACATCCCCCCCCCCCACGATCAACTTATATCATCCTATTTGTAACACTCCAATGCACATTTACTAAAAATTAGTGACGGCCAGACCTCCCGCCACCCTCTTCCTCGATGATTATTTCAGAAATTTTCCCCCCCCGGCAGAGGCGTAGCGTGGTGGGGGCAGGGGGGGACAGATATCCCCGGGCGCCAGCTAATTAGGGGCGCCAAAATGTGCTTTGATATTATTTTATTGATGAAAATAATGGGTTTGAGAGTTGAAAAAAAAAAGAAAAAAGGGCGCTAAAAATGGATCTTGTCCCCGGGCGCGAATCTTTTCCCCGGGCGCCAAACACCCTCGCTACGCCACTGCCAGGGGGCACTTTAGATTATTATTATTATTTTTTTTTGGAGGGGGGGCAGTGCCAGATGATATATTGTTGGACATATATTTGCTCAGGGGGGGGGTACACATGGCTTTCCCCGGGGGGCAGTGCCCCCCCCCCCCCAGGAGTGTGGAGTTCTTTCTTTGTCACGCGAAAAAAATGATGGAATTGCATTACGTTAAAACAATAATGACTATTGACTGTTGTCCACCATAAGGGACCATTATTAATTATATATCGTGAAGGGTGGAGGGGTGGTTTATCACTTAGTTGTATTCTTTTACCCGGTATATGGGGGTGGTAGAGAGAAATGTTAATACAAAAATTATTTTTATTTGTTAATTTTTATAATTGCATTGATTCGAATTTGTTCAAGATTTCTGCTTTTCAAATTTACGAAATTAGCCTAGGCCAAGATTATTAAAAACTAAAATGTATTTCTTGCTTACAAAGAATTGGGTCCTTTTTTTTTTTCTTTCAAATAATAACTTCTCGCTCTCTGCTTGAAATTTACTTGTGTCGACTTGTTTTTGGACTTATCCGTCTTTTATCTGGCACACTTGTTTAAACGAATGCTAATAAAAACAATTTTTTTTCTTGCAGTAAATCGTTTTTATTTGGTGTTGATTGAATTGTTATATAATATTTGGGGTGTTGGTCAATGGACATGTTATAAAACGTTATAACGGGGTAGATGGTGGGTCGAAAGGGTCATATTTTTGTGCTGGAAAATATGTGCATGCCCCCCACCCTTTTTTTTAGCAGACGATTACGTGATACATATTTGAACACTGTCGAATTTAAACAGGCGATCACAATCACATATGGTAATCGGAATGTTAAGTTTTAGAAAACATTATGATGAACGGCTCTGATTCCATCCTCATCATAGGCTGGTATTAATGAAATGTAATGCCGGGTACCGGTAACCAGAGAAACCTTGACCTCGCAGTCGTGCCAACTCCCGTGTACCGGCACCTTGGCCAAGGTTATGATTAATTTGTTATCAGTTCTAGGGCTGTTATCTCAGTGTTATTTTAATACAAGTTTTTATAAGGGACTTAACAAACGTAATAATTGATAAGTGATGTAGTAGGCCTATCAGTTACCGGGACTTCATACTACTTTCTTTTCTCTGTGTGTCTGCACGTACCGGTACCGTACCGATAATGAACGTTTTTATTACCGGTACCGGTATAATTCACCGGTATGAACAGAGGAGTAAATGAGTAGCATTTTAAATAGTATGAATAATGGAATGGGTTGAGGAGTGAGTGTCATGAAGTGAGGTGGTTGTATCACGGGGTGTGTCACGGTGCGTCGTGGGGATGAGGTGAGGGTAGTCATAGGCCTATTCATAAATTGGACGATAATGGACCCCTCTCCCCGTCCCCGATTCCTCCAATTATTAAGACACCTTATAATAAAATTATCACAAATTCCTGGACCCCCACCACCCTCTAGATCAGGCCTGCACAAAATACGGCACGCGGGCCGCATGCGGCCCACCAGCACCCACTTTGTGGCCCGCGAGGTAACGAAATATTCTGTATCCTTATTAATTTTCTTAATAGCTTTTCCCGTCCTATTTTCTTTTGGCCCGCACAAGTCCATTTCTATTTTCTTTTGGCCCGCACAAGTTTTTCATAAAGTATTACGGCCCGCCTTACATTTTGAGTTGTGCAGGCCTGCTCCAGATACCCCAATTGTTGCTTAGTGACGTCACGGTTTTGTATGCTGTCGTGTGGAGCTCCATGTTAGTAGTGCTCCACGTTGTTCTCATGAAATAAAACGCTGAACTACTTGAACTAACCTTGATGGTTGCCTCCACTTGTTTGATTATCTTCCTTGTGAAGTAACTTAGCAATTTGATATTTTCAACATTTTCCTTACAGGCTACGACAGTCACTAGAACTATACCGGTACCAAAAAAAGATCTTAACAGCCATGGTAATTTTCTAAAAGTGTCAGAGATTGTGTTAACCAGATCCACAAACGTTTATAACAATACCGGTACTCAGATTGGTTTCAAATGTAAAACTTTACTCATGTTTAACGGCGTGTTAATATGTTGACAAAACACAGAATTTAACGAAGAAGGGGTACCGTGCAAACATTCTTTAAGTATAGTCATTGTCACGTCCATTCTTAAAGTTTAAAGTACAGTCAAGTCCATTCTTTAATTATAGTCGTCCACATTGTTTAATTTTTCTTTGTTTAAAAATGACTTTGATAAGCTTAGTAGCAAAAGTTCAATGTTTAATTATAGTCGTCCACATTGTTTAATTTTTCTTTGTTTAAAAATGACTTTGATAAGCTTAGTAGCAAAAGTTCAATGTTT